AAGAAAGAAAAAATAAAACAAAAAGATTCTAGTTTCAAAACACAATTAAGAAAATGTTAAAAAATAATTTTTGTGAATCCCAAAATAAATCTTTATTTTACTACTATGGTTTGCAGTCACTAGTTTTTTCCCGTTTAAGTTTCTTTCTCTTAAACCGTGAAATAAACTTTCCCCAATAGTGGGACTAATTTCTAAATGTGGGCTCTGTGCTCTTCTGAGTAGAGTAACATATGGAATATAGATTTAATATATAGCCTTAATTAAACTGCTCTATTTGGTCCAGTTTCCCATGTTCACTTAGGCTGAGGACAGAGGTCTCATTAAATCACACAGGCACTCCAACTCTAAAGGGACTCTAAAGGGATTGTAATCTTTCTTTCTGAAGTCAACTGAATAAGTTTGTATTCGCCACTCCTTTTGCCTTCAGAATTGACCTACCTCCTCCAGCTAGCCCTTCTTAACCAGCCACACCCACTGTATCTACCACTCACCCTAGACCTTGGTATACTCCACCCACGGTGACAATAACAGAGTCCCCTATAAACCAGGAAATGTGCTCAGTGCCTGGCATAATGCCTTGTCACTGGAGCCTCACGTGAACACTAGGAGGCAGGAGTAATTTCAGTTTGCAGGTGAAGAAGCGGATTCCGTCACCTGGCTCAGGTGCTCTGCCTGGGGAGGCCAACCAGCTGAGATGCAAATCCACCCCATGAAAAGCCAGCCATCACTCAAGCCCTAAGTCACCTGTCTCATGAACAGGTCTTGTCTAACCAACCTGCACTCTATGTGGTGTTCTACACATAGTGGACACTGAGTAAATATTTTTACTGTTTTGACAACATGACCCTTTGTCTTCCTAGATCACAGAGAAAACTGAAAGCAGTATTTGGCTATACGGTATCTAGGCTCCTGCCTAACTCTCAAATGAAAATACCAGAGAAAGTGGCAGTAGTCCTGGTGATGGGCAGAACAGCAAGGCAGCACAGGAAAGCCAACTTTGCACATTGGAAGACTGAAAAAAGAAGCTACCCAGGGATTTCCCTGGTGGTCCAGTGGCTAAGACTCCAAGTGAGGGGCCCTGGGTTTGATCCCTGGTCAGGGAACTAGATCCTGCATGCTGCAACTAATGCCTGGTGCAGCCAAATAAACAAATAAATACTAACAAAAAAGAGGCTACCCAAGGAAGGCTGACAGCAGCCTGTTTAAAATGGGGAGAGAGGGGTAGAGTTGAGTTGGGTGAAGAAGCTGAACAGGTTCAGGCTCAAGAACGATGCGCAGTAGGTAATTCCATCACACATCCTGTGTGTAAGGGTGAAAACGAAGTCCACTTGGAGTTTTAACTGATAAGAGAGGAGAAAACATCAAGAACTTTTGTCTTGAACATTTTAACTACAAGGCTCTGGTTCCAAGAGCAGTCAGTCAGATGTGAACTGGCACCTGCACACTGCTTTAGTACAACTGCTATTCCTGTTCGGACTCCAGTACAAAGACCAGAGGAGGACAGAGTGTAGGAACGAAACGTACATGTGAGGGGAAGGGTGTTCTTTTCACTACCGATGGCTTCCTACAGTCTCCTACAGAAGAGCCACGTCTCTGAGACAGATGTAAAAACGATCACACGACCTGCAAGGTCTGAGGTGGAAGCCGGCGCATGTGGCTCATCCACAGCCAGAGGAGCAGTGACCACAACACACACACACGAGGTTTCCAAGACCTAGTACCGAAATATGTAAAGTGCCAGTAAGTTTTACATTGATTGCCAGTTGAAATAATACTCTTGATATGGGGTGATAAATGTTATTAAAATTGATTTCACGGGACTTCCCTGGTGGTCGAGTGGTTAAGACTCTGCGCTTCCAATGCAGGGGGCATGGGTTCAATCCCTGGCTGGAGGAACTGAGATCCTGCATGTCAAGTGGTGCAGTCATAAAATAAAAAATAGATAAATATATTTTTCAAATTAGCACCTTTTTTTTTTTTTTACTTCTTTAAAAAAAAAAAAGGCTATTGGAACATTTTGGATTATATGTGTGCCTTGCATTCTATTTCTATGGGATGGTTCTGGTATAGACTATGCTGTAGAAAAAGCGGGGGAAACAAATTTCAATTAGATTCAATAGACCATTAGAATCTCAGTCCTTTGTTAACAGCCTCTCATGGAGATTTCCATTTTCCAGGAAATGAGGATTTCTGGTGTTCTATAAACACAGGACTCAGAGCCAGAGTAGACTAGGTTTGAGAATGATCTCTCCCACTGACTAACTCTGAAGTCAATGGCGTTTTAGTCCAAAATTGTGGGTAAGCAAGTCATACAACTCAGGGCCAACCTGCCTCTAAATCCTATTATGAGGGTTAAATGCAGTAACATAAAGAGTGCAGCACTTTATTTTCTTTTTTTTAAGCCTAGCATTTTAAATGCTAAACACTATTATCCTCTTAAGAAAATTTCTATGACATGCTTTTAAGATACTTCGGTGGTACTCTGTTAAAAATAAATAAATAATACGACTAATAAAATTAGAGGTTTTGTGGTGTTTGTTCTCAAAGACTTCATCTTCTAAGTTTGACTAAAAAGGAATACACTGTTAGAGAAGATGATAAAATCTCCATCTTTGGAGAGCTCTGGAAATTAGCACACTATTTCTCCTGGAAAGTTTAAACCACACAGTGGAGCAGGAAGGTGAGTTTATGCTGCCTGAGAAAGAGAGGCAAATTTGGTTCCAAAACTCAATGACAGGGTGATGGTGTGGAATTCGTGTAACATTTCTGGAATAGCAGTTTCCTCGTTATTGAATGAAGGAGGCTAAGTGGTCTGTAAGACTGCCTTCAGAACTAAGAGTTTTCTCAACTATGAATCCAGAGGTTACGTACATAGGCATTTCCATTCACCACTTGAGAACACCCTTACGTCTCACACATCTGCACGTACGTAGGTTCTAAGGCCAGTTTCTCAGGGTCTTGCAGAACGACCCTGCTCAAGCTGTTTCCCACAGCTTCTATAAGCCCAGTCTCCATTTCCTCTCAAGGCATAGATGGGTGTATCCTGTTTCCCACACAGACATTTAGAAGCCAATTAAAAATAGAAAACTATCTCCCCCTCCCACCTCAACTTCAAGTTCCAGTTTCACTGCTCTCACCCTGTGGGTGCTCACTTAGCTGTTAACTGATGCATCTGTTAAACCTGGAGAAGGTACGAAGCATAATCATGGTACCATTTCATTGAATATCAAAAGTAACAAAAATGACCTGTAATGCAATTATTGGTAAAATCATCTGCTTGCCAGCTGACTGGTGAAGTTTTATGGGGGGCAATTCTGGACAGGATCCACAACCAGGAATTTCACTTCATTTTATTTTATTTTCTGATTTGAGGATTACATAAAGCATCTCCAGCTTTGCCCTAGGGATGTGTCTGACTGTAGGAAATTAACTTTGCTTGCTGTGACAAAGGGCTTCCCAGGGAGCGCTAGTGGTAAAGAACCTGCCAACGCAGAAGACATAAGAGATGCAGGGTTGGGAAGATCCCCTGGAGTAGGAAATGGCAACCCACTTCAGTATTCTTGCCTGGAGAAGCCCATGAACAGAGAGCCTGGCTGGCTACAGTCCATGGGGCCGCAAAGAGTAGGACACAACTGAAGTGACTTAGCACGCACGCTGTGACACAGTTTGCTTATTTCTCAGAGGACTAATAAGAATCACGTGCTCAAAGACATCATGACCCCACCAGAAAGTCTCAGTGCAAGCACGCACTATCAAATTTCAAATGCCTCACGCTAACAGCAGACATACTAACAATGTCCAGGCAAAATTTTGAAGATGCAGGGGTTTTAAGAGCAAAAAAAGAATAAAAGAAGTAGTAAAAAGAATGCCTCCTTGCTGCCCAATGATAGGGTGTTTTTGCTTTCCATGTGCTAAAGCAAGCCCGTTTGGAAGTTCATTTTTATAGCCAGTCCAATTCTTTCAGCTACTCAAGGAGAAATATTCAGGCAGTCCTTTTCACATGAGAAAGCAGCACTTGTAAATCACCAGCAGCTGAATTAAGATCTCTGATTGCTTTTTCAATTAGAGGTGATGTAAATAATACATTTAGGGCCTCCCTGGTAGCTCAGTCGGTAAAGAATCTCCTTGCAATGTAGGAGACCAGGGTTCAATCCCTGGGTTGGGAAGATCCCCTGGAGAAGGAAATGGCAACCCACTCCAGCATCCTTGCCTGGAAAAATCCCATGGACAGAGGAGCCTGGCAGGCTACAGTCCATAGGATCACAAGAGTCGAACATGACTTAGCGACTAAACCACCACCAAATAAGAGGTTTGGAGACATCACTTTGCAGGCAGTTAGAGGTGTGTTCTAGTAACACTGGTTAAGAGCATAAAAGTTGTGGAGACAGACAGACCTTAGTTCAACATGGCTCCTCTGTCGGCCACACCTGGCTCAGGATGGCTCACACCCTTTACATCCAGGATTCGTGTTCTTCCCTCTCCTATCTCCACCAGACTGCTTCAAGAAACCTCAGGCAGGGCATCTGCACTGCATCCTCTTAGCGCTGGTCCTCACCATCTTTTGACCCCCCTCCCCCACCCGTCTGGAAGGGGGAAGTCATCATGAAATCTTCCTCAATCCAAGCCACTCTGAGTTCTTTCCTAGTTCATGCAGCAAATGCACACGTTTCTAAGTGTGAGCTAATCTAGATGGTATTAGCCTTCCTGAGTGTGCCCAGTTACTGTAACAGAACATCTAAGAAAATGGGATGAAACTTCTGAAAATCCCTGTCCTGTCACAGGGCTCTTGGACCTGTAAGAACAGCACATCTGACAATGGCTTAGGTCTCTGACAGCGAACAGAACATCATAGCTGACAGCATGGGGGAGGAGGTAAGGCTGCTGGGCTGCTGGCTGGGGAGTTGCTTTGAGGACATTTGTATCTGAAAGGATGGCCCACTGGTGCCTGTCCGGCTGCTGTCAAGAAATCCTGCAATGAAGGATATTTTCAAAGCACCCACCTTGTTGAGGACATCTCGCTGGCAGCCAAGATAGAGATTGGGCAGAATTCGGGTTGGCCCGATGTTGGCAACAGGTAAGCAAGGCTGAGAGATGCAGGTGGGGACTAGGGTGGACTTTCCTTCACAGAGGCCAGGGAAACAGCGGGAGAACTCGGCAAACCCACCTAAGGATAGACATGGTAAAGTTACGCCGTGCACAGAGATGAAAATCAGCCTTCTGGTAACCAGTCAAATAAAGCTGTCTGAAAAGAAAAAGCAAATCCCACAAACGCAAGTGAATCCTGCCATACATGGATCCCTGGCCTCAGCTGCTTGCTCTGGGGTACAGGCCAGCAACAGCCCTGGCTTACAGGGCCTCGAAAGGGGTCCCAGGCCCTGAAAGTCCCCCGTCCTTTTCTGTGTAACTTAAAGAGAACGGAAAGTAAGCGGCAAATAACCAAGCAGAAGTTAAATGGGGATAAAACAAATCCTCAACTGAGGCCAGGTGTTATTTCTTCAAAACACAGTTGATCAACTTAAGTTTCTTTCAGAATGAACTTTTTAAATCTTCCTACTATATAAATTTTTAATTTCAAAGATACCACATACACCCTCTACTCTTACAAATATTCTCGGTATTGAGGGTTCCATAATAACTCATGATTCCGGGGTCTCTTGTTCCTTTGCTGAGCGCTTACTGTAAGCAAGGGCCGACAGACCGGAACTGCTCAGGGCACATAGGAGGCCTTGCGGCAAGACTGCTGGACTCAGAGGAATTCACTTTTTTCTAGTCCTGTCCTTATAATGACCCACTCCATGACCTTTATTAGGTCACAATCTTGCTGCTGTTAATGATGAGAAGCCCATTGGCTAAGGAGACACTCACCTTCTCTGGGAAAAGAAAAGATGAATAAGGTCTTCACTGGTTTTTCCAATCTAAATACTCCTTGTGATGCAAATCCAAACCCAGGAACTGAACACATTTTGATACATTTTCAGATAAATCCCTCCCTATCCAGCCCTCACTTACTAGGTACAAACTCAGGAACCAGAGAGACTCAGAATATGTGAATGTCTGTGTGTGTATGTTTTAAAATTTTCTATTTTGTATAGGAGTATGGCAGATTAACAATGTTGTGATAGTTTTAGGTAGCCAGCAAAGGCACTCAGCCATGTGTACACACGTATATATTCTCCCCCAAACTCCCCTCCCATCCAGGCTGCCACATGACATTGAGCAGCGTTCCCTGTGCTATACAGTAGGTCCTTGTTGGTGATGTATTTTAACTATAGCACTGTGTACATTTTTAATACTATTAAATTAAAAAACAATTCACTTGTTGAGAAGATAGAGCAGTCCCACTCGTACCTCTTTACTTAAGCCTTAAAAGGGACCCTAGAAGCTCATTAAATATTTAGCTCCATCTCCTTGAGCTACATTCTACACACCTTTCCCTCCCTTCTGGATACATATGAAACACACCCTCATCAACTGCACAAGTGCAGGGAGCTGCACCTGCACCTGCACCTGCAGGAGAAGTATCGCCCTTTTTTATCCCCTGTGTTGTTCAGGGCACGTGTCAGCAGGACCCTCCGGACACCTGTGTGCATCATCTGTGTTTGGGTGGCATGCACAGTGCAGCAAGTTAGTGACAATAACCAGTCCACTTGCAAAACGTAAGTGTCCGTCCCTAGCCTCCAACCCAGGGGTCTGGACTGTTTTTACCCATAAGCAGGTTGCTTGTAAAGTTCTTACGGGAACATGGGAGACAGAGTAGGAGGTTCCATTACAGGAATCCCACTTCCTCTGTGGAATCGACGGGATCCTCAGGGTCTGCACCTACTCAGAGTGCAGATTTCATGTCTCTCCCTTTCCAAACATCCTTCCAGCCACACAAAAACTCACGGTCAACTGTACATGCTGTTCTCTCACCACCACCAGCCTATCCTGGGCGTGTACACACACACGGCATACAAACCAGACACACACACACACACACACACAGGGCCTACAAACCACACACATGCACACATACATGGCATACAAACCACACACACACACAGCATACAAACCACACACACACACACACACACACACACACAGGGCATACGAACCACACACACACACAGCATACAAGCCACACACACACAGGGCATACAAACCAGACACATACACACACACACACACACACACACACACACACAGCATACAAGCCACACACACAGGGCCTACAAACCACACACACACAGAGCATACAAACCACACACACAGGGCCTACAAACCACACACACACAGGGCATACAAACCACGTACACACGGCATACAAACCACACACACACAGGGCATACAAACCACACACACACAGCATACAAACCACACACACACGGCATACAAACCACACACACACAGGGCATACAAACCAGACACATACACACACACACACACACACACACAGCATACAAGCCACACACACAGGGCATACAAACCACACACACACGGCATACAAACCACACACACACAGGGCATACAAACCACACACACACAGCATACAAACCACACACACACGGCATACAAACCACACACACACAGGGCATACAAACCAGACACATACACACACACACACACACACACACAGCATACAAGCCACACACACAGGGCATACAAACCACACACACACGGCATACAAACCACACACACACAGGGCATACAAACCACGTACACACGGCATACAAACCACACACACAGGGCATACAAACCACACACACACGGCATACAAACCACACACACACAGGGCATACAAACCACACACACACAGGGCATACAAACCACACACACACAGGGCATACAAACCACACACACACGGCATACAAACCACACACACACAGGGCATACAAACCACACACACACACACGGCATACAAACCACACACACACAGGGCATACAAACCACACACACACGGCATACAAACCACACACACACACGGCATACAAACCACACACACACAGGGCATACAAACCACACACACACGGCATACAAACCACACACATGCACACATACATGGCATACAAACCACATGCACACAGCATATAAACCACACACACACAGCATACAAACCACACACACAGGGCATACAAACCACATACACAGTGCATACGAACCACACACACACACAAACAGCGTACAAACCACACACACACACACACACACAGCATACAAACCACATACACACATGACCAAACATCCGAGGAAAGAAGAACACAGGCCCCTGTACTGAGTTCACATCCTGGCTTCACCATGTTCTAGTTGTCAGGTTTGCACAAGTGAATGACGCCCTCTGGCTGTTGGTTTTCCTGTTCCTAAACTGGGAGCAGTGATCAGATCCCCTCCCAGAGCTGCCAGAGGACGGAAAGGATGGGGTCAGTCAGGATGCCTGAGAGCTAGTGCCTGCAGGGGAAGCCCCCCACGGCACAGGCATCGGACATCCAGTTCCCAGCCTCGTCTGTGGCCTTCCTCCATGGCTAGTCTGCAGCTACAGCTCGGCAGGATTCACCTGAAATACAGCGAAAGCAGCAGTGCTTCGAAGTCTGCATCTCCCAGAGTCGGCTCTGGGGCACTGACCTCCTGCCAGAAGCCGGCAGATGGGACATGAAACACTACATGTCATTTCTCCCTAGGAGACTTACAGCTCACACAGTAAAAGCTCTCTGAGGAGCCGAAACCCTCCAAGGAAACTGGTTTACTTTCATTTAATTCAAGGTTCCCAAACTTACTTGACCAAGGAATTTCCCCTCCCATTTTCCCCCTAATATCTTTTAATAGCTGGAGGAACTCACACTTAAGGAAACATCAAGATAAGGCCATTGCAACCACTGAAACAGAGTAAATTGGAATTTCCACACTTAAAGTATAACCCACCAGCTATCTCAAAAAAGGATCAGTTAATACAGGCATTTCCTGGTGGCTAAGATGGTAAGGAATCTGCTTGCAATGCTGGAGACCCAGGTTCCACCTCCAGGTCCGGAAGATCTCCTGGAGGAGAGAATGACTATCCACTCCAGTATTCCTGCCTGGACAATCTCATGGACAGAGGAGCCTGGCGGGCTACAGTCCTTAGGGTCGCAAAGAGTTGGACATGACTTGAGCAACTAACAAGTTCACTTTTTTCCCTTTAATACAGGCATATGTATATGCCTGTCATGATTTAGGATTTATAATTTGGCCTTCTATTAATATTTTATCCTTTTCAGTCTCTTAATGGCATAATACAATCATTTAAGGTGAGTTATTTTTCCCTTAAGTAATTCTTATAAAAACAAACATTAAAGAATCTGAATATTCTTGGCCTATCTTACACTTGCTTACCCAACACAGTAACTGACAGCCACAATTCTGATTACAATTTAATTGAATGGGTTTAAATTTTAACTTCCAGTAACTTTTGTGGTTCTGGTGTTTCTCTAAGAAACTGCTGTCATATTTTTTTTTCCCTATTCTGGCTCCAAAACAATTCAGGGGATGGTCTCTCTCATTTAAATCCAATAAAACGGGAGTCTAGGAAATATTCTCAGAAAACAGAGAAACCAGACCATCCAAGGAATTCCATTTTAAACTTATAAGTCATCGTATTTACAAATAAGTCATCCTAGAGTTACTGAACATGTACTATATGACAAGCATTGCTCTAAGCACTTCACAAGTTTTGTTTGATCATTACAACCCCCTGAAGGAGGTACCTGGGTTATTCCCATTTCACAGATAAGGAAACTGAGGTTCAGAAAGACACAGAATGATAACCAACAAGGCTGGGATGTGAGTCCTGGCAGCCCAGCTTCAGACTGTACTCTCAATGGTTGCATTAGACCACATCTCAAAAGTGCCATGGAATTAACTGCCATGTTGCCTAGAATGTGGGGACAGCCTGCTGACATCTCTGGGGTCCTACCCTCATTTTAGCCTCATTTCACTAGGCTAAATGGCTATGGCCTCTCCCAAACAGACAAAAGAGCCTTGCTTCCCCCTAAGCCACATGGTTCAGAAGCTTTGATGAGGCAGAGAAAAGAGAAGGAGACCTGAGCAGAGACACATGCTCGAGTCGCATGAGTCCAGTAACAAAACTGAGGCTGGACCAGGGGCTCACCACTGGCTCATGATCACAGTCTGTGAACTGGTGGTGAGGCTGTCACT